TGTCTGCCTGTCTCTCTGCCTGTCTGTCTTCCCTCGTGTTTTTTCTGTCCGTCTGCCTGTCTGTCTGTTTGTCTGTCTCTCTGCCTGTCTGTCTGTTTGCCTGTCTCTCTGCCTGTCTGTCTGCCGGCCTGTCTGTCTGTCTCTCCTTCTTTCTCCCCGAGTTGTCTGTGCTTGGGCGCTGCCGTTCAATCCTTGTGGTCGTCCTCTTGGTCTTCCTCTCTTCCCTGCGTCTTATGGATACAGCAGAGCTATTCTCGTTGCCCCACTCGACGATGCACATAACCATATGGTAGACGGTGACGCCCACCGGCGCAGAATGATTGCTAAAGAATTGCGGTGTGCTTGCTCGTCTGCTTGCTCAGGCACTGGCAGTAACTAAAACCAGCTTTTTTGTCAAAATAGTTTTTAAAAGGACCTCCTGAAGGCAAGGGCCTCTGCGAGAAGATGGCGGAGCTGCAGTGGAGAATTTAATATCAAGAGATGGGAATTAAAGGAGCTCCATCTCTAAGACATACAATTCTTGAAGACAGAGCTGGATTTTCGCTCGCTCGCTCGCCTCGGGAGCATACATACATACATACATACGTACATGCATGCATGCGTACATGCATACATACGTACATGCATACATACGTACATACATACATAACATACGTACATACATACATACATACATACATACATACGTACATGCATGCATACGTACATACGTGCATGCATGCATACGTACATGCATACATACGTACATGCATACATAACATACGTACATACATACATACATGTATACATACATATGTATGTCTATGAGTATGAAATGTGTACTGTATATTATATATGTGTACTGTATATTCCATATGAATCTAGTGGTGCTGCATTCTAGAGTCTTGAAGAGTACAAGTGGTGAAGATCACTAGAATCCAAAGGTACGTTGTCAGGATATTGACATGGGTCGATGCCGAACGGCTCATCAAGACTTGGCTTGTCGGGTAGTAAAGTGGAAGGGAAGGCTGAAGAGCTCTGATAAGGCAAGGCTCTTCTCCATGGCGCTCGGGAAAAAAAAAAAGGATGAATCAACCAAAGAGAGGAGAAGGGGTATATGGGTCCATGCTACGGACCTTGAAAAAATACAACGAAAACTGTTCTAAAAAAGCGGAATCGAGGAAGTTAGCAAACCTCGATGAATCTATTCGTTGAGTAAGCCAGCCAGCAATTTTGCCATCATCGAGCAACCCGTAGATTAATTGGGTAATCAATCAATCATTCAATCAATCAATCGATAGACAACCAACCAACCAACAAACCAACCAATCACTCGCTCACTGAATCTCACAATTAGTCTCCCTCCCTCCCTCCCTCCCTCCC